TTTTTTTTTTTTTCAGTTGACTACAAAAATTAACATCCTTTCTATATTTAAGTTAGAAAAATAACATTCTGGTTATGACACATCAGGTGCCGATTGTTACCTTACACACTTGACGTCTATGATGTCCTTACTTGAGTGGTTAAAAGTTTGAGATATTGTAATTTGAGTGAACAATCTTATCACGAGTGCATATAAAACAATTTCACTCAGGTATCTCTTTTTTGGCAACCTTCAAAACAAACCATTAGAAGTACTTTAAGCGAGAAGAAAAGCTCAAGCTTCTTCGAAATTTCAATGGGGCAGAAGAACCAAACTTGCAAGCATCATTCCATTTCAGTGTAATCTTCTGCCATAATCTGTATATCCCTCTTTTTTGCCTCATTTGTTTACTTCATTGCACCAGAAAGACACTTCTCTGAACCATTTTTGTTCAACAAAGAAAGAAGTATTCAATGGTGATCTGAGGGATGTTAAGTTCCAATGGAAAAAGTTTTGTTTTGGGTCGACTTACGAGTAAACATGGCCCTATTGGGGCTGCACTGCACCAGGTGGCAGGGAACGCCATACTTCGACTTTGTATAGTGCTCTACTGCTCTTGCTGCTAGAGGACACGAGATTTATATTTTCATTGCACCTTCTGATAGGAGGTTTCATCGGATATGCATGAAGGCGAACTTCATGTGTATTTTGTGGCGAATGATCTGAATTGGTTAATTGTTCCCTAGCTTTCAATATATACAATCAGGAAAATAAGGCTGGTACTTTTGATTATGTGCATACTGAGAGTGTTTCTTTGCCTCATTGGCGTGCACGAATGGTGCCTAAAGTGGCTGCAACGTGCATGGGATATGGTATGAGATTATGCACTCAAAGTTATTCCACGATCTTCATGTTAACCCAAAAGAGCAATTGCCTGCAGGGCAGATTACAGAGCTTCAAGAAGCAATGCCTCGACTTTAGACGAGATTAGGTTCTTCTGTAGCTACTAGCAACATATGTATATATATATCAGTAATAATGCTGGTGAGGTTCTAAGAAACATCTACCAGCTCCTACAAAGAAATGTCCATGTCTCAATGGAGTCGATGAGACAAATTTTGTGCATGATCCAAAGGCCACAGTCGAGAGAACACGAGATACCATGGAATGTCAGCCTAGTAATGGGAGTTGATGATAGGCTGGTTAGAGACAAGGGCATCCGCAATTATACGAAGCATTTTCATTGATATCTCAACACAATCCCGAAGTTTTTTTTACTTATTGTGGGTTCTGGTCCTGATCCATCAGAACTGTCTGATTTTTACAATTCTTTTGATCTGTTTGTGAACCCAACATTGAGGCCTCAAGGGCTTGATCTTACATTAATTGAATCAATGCATTGTGGGAAGCCAATTTTAACTCCAAATTTTCCTAGTATAACTGGAACTATGATACCAAGTGAAGAATTGGGATACACTTGTTCACCAAATGTAGAATCCTTAGTAGAAGCCTTGAACTTAGCAATGAAAGATGGCACAAAAATTCTGCAGAGGAAAGGCATGAATTGTAGAAAACATGCAATTTCTATGTTCACAGCAACCAAAATGGCAAGGGATTCTTCCTATGCATGCAAAACACAAGACATTGCCAGTTGCCACTACCAGATTGTTGAGATGTACCGCCTAATGCTCAATCTGGCTCTTCATCTACGCACTACACCCAAAAAGGGCATTTGCAACATATAAAAGGCAACATTCGGTTGTTAAATGTTGCTAAATGGGTCTACCGCAACATTTGAATAAGCGAATGTTGCCGTTGGTTGACATAATTGAGCTTTGGCAACATTTTT